CTTAGGAGTAGTACATTCTGATGTGTGCGGTCCGTTTCCAGTAGCATCGACTGGAGGGAATAAATATTTTGTGTCATTTGTTGATGAGTTCACCAGAATGACATGGGTATCTCTCATAAAGTTCAAACACGAGGTGTTTTCTGAATTCAAAAAGTTCAGAATGAAGGCTGAGAATCAGAGTGGCCAGACTCTGAAATTTTTTAGAACTGATGGTGGTGGTGAGTATAACTCCACAGAATTCAGAAGTTTATGTGAGGAGAATGGAATTAAGCATGAGGTTACTGCTCCATATACTCCTCAACATAATGGTCTTGCTGAAAGAAGAAATCGTACTTTGCTAGATATGGTGAGAAGCATGCTGAAAGAGAAGAAGCTTCCTCATACTCTGTGGGGAGAAGCTGTTGCAACTGCATGTTATGTGCTTAACAGATGTCCAACAAAGAAATTAAAGGAAATAGTTCCTATTCAGAAGTGGACTGGAGATAAGCAAAGTGTTAGTCATCTGAAGGTATTTGGTTCTGTATGTTACAAACATGTCCCAGAAGCCAGAAGACAGGAGATGGATGATAGAAGTAAAGTGATGTTGCTGGTAGGGTATCACAGTACAGGTTCGTACAAACTTTATTATCCGGAAACTAACAAAGTTAAGTTCAGCAGAGACGTCATTGTAGAGGAATTAGAAGTTTGGAATTGGGAAAAGTATCGTCCTGGCTCTGATGACAGAACTTCTGAAGAAAGGTCAGAAATACATGTTTCTGAAGCTAGTAAAGACTCTGACTCTGAATAAGATACAGAAGGAGAAGATGATTCTGTCTCTGACTCCGATGGTGATCCAGACTCTGAAGACAGTCAAGGTTCTGGAGAAAGTCCAATTGCTGAAGCAAGTGTTTCTGAAGGAGAAAGTTCTAGTGTCCAAAGTTCTGAAGGTCCAGTTCAGAGGCAACAAAGAGTTAGAAGCATCCCAAGAAGATTTGCAGAGTTTGACATGTTGCTTGACATTGAAGTAAACTCTGAAGGAGAAGTTATTCAGTGTGCAATGTTAGTAGACTCTGAACCCGTGAGTACGAAAGAGGATCTTAAGCACCAAGTTTGGTTACAGGCCATGAAAGAAGAACTTGATGCTATAGAGAGAAACAAGACTTGGAAGCTGACAGAACTTCCAAAAGGAAAGAAAGCCATCAGCGTCAGATGGGTTTTCAAGCAGAAGCTAAAGCCATATGGATCAATTGGCAAACACAATGCGAGATTAGTAGCAAGAGGCTTCTTATAGAAGCCTGGGCTGGATTATTTTGAAGTGTTTGCACCTGTAGCGAGACATGAAACAATCAGACTAGTGATTGCAATAGCTGCTAACAGGAATTGGCCTCTGATGCATTTAGATGTAAAATCTGCATTTCTGAATGGTCCATTACAAGAAGAGGTTTACATTTCACAACCTCCTGGATTTGAGAAAAAGAATCAGGAAGGGATGGTGTTCAAATTACACAAAGCATTGTATGGATTGAAGCAAGCGCCCAGAGCTTGGAACTTGAAGATTGATTCGTTTTTCAAGGAACAAGGGTTTTAGAAGTGTGAGATGGAGTATGGTGTTTATGTTCAGCACACTTCAGAAGATCTTAGAAAAATGAATTTCTTTCTAGGGATGGAATTTATATACTTTGAGAAAGGAATCATTTTACATCAGATGAAGTATGAACTAGAGCTTCTGAAGAGATTTTAGCTAAAAAATTGTGAGGTTGCTATCACACCTGCTAATACGAATCATAAGTTGGATTCTGATTCTGATGGAGAGGATGTGGATGCTACAACCTTCAAACAGATGATTGGTTCTCTAAGATATTTGTGTAATACTAGACCTGATATTTGCTATGCAGTTGGAATGGTTAGCAGATTTATGAGCAAACCAAAGTGGTCTCATTACCAAGTTGCAGTCAGGATTCTGAGGTATATGAAGGAAACTCTGAAATATGGAGTGTTATTTCCGTCTGGAAGAAAGATCGAATCAGAAATTCTGAGTTATTCTGATTCTGATTGGTGCAGAGATAGAGTTGACAGAAGAAGTACTTCTGGGTACTTATTCAAATTTTTGGGAGGTCCTATTTCTTGGTGTTCTAAGAAGCAACTTGTTGTTGCTCTGTCAACCTGTGAAGTTGAATATATTGCAGGTGCTCTGACTGCATGTCAAGCTGTGTGGATTCTGAACTTGCTGAAAGATCTGAAGATTGAGGTAAATAAACCTCTGAAGTTGATGATTGATAACAAGTCTGCAATCAATCTTGCCAAGAATTCAGTGTTGCATGGGAGAAGCAAGTATATTGAGACCAAGTATCATTTTCAGAGGAATCAAGTTTGGAATTGGAATAATAGAGGTTGTGCACTGTAGCACTCAGAAGCAGCTGTCAGATATTCTGACAAAGGTTATCAAAACTGATCAATTTCTTGGTTTAAGGGATGGAATTGGTGTTGTCAGTTTTGGGTAAATATAAATTAAGGGATGGCGTTAGAATTAATTTAGATTTAATTAGATATTAGTTTATATTTAGGAATATCTTTTAGATTGTTTATATTTTTGTTAGAAGATATAAATCTTAGATCTTCTTATATCTTTGTAGAAGATATATTTTAGATTTAATTTGTGTGTATAAATAGCCTAGTGGAGTAGATTATTGTAATTCATTGTAAATCCTTATTTTTGAAGCTATCAGTAAATATTCCTTTTCCTTTTATCTTCCTTGTGCTCCAACACTATATACATACACCCATGTTACTACTCAATAACATCACAATAACACAAATTTCTCAAAATCAAAAGCATAGGAAGAAAAAGTGTAAGCTCTAAATCAGTTTCAAAAGCAACTTTGCTTCTGTTGCGGGTTCACCATCACCACTAGTATACACATGACATCGCCATTCTCATCAAAGTCGACGATCTCCACAACACAACCACGCAATAGCCATAACAAACCGAAAAAAATATAGTCAAGTATGCTTGTTTTGTTATGTGAACAACATGGAGTTTGGGTAGAAAGAAGGGAGAATGAGATAATTTATGTTTGTTTTCGGTGATATTGATAAGTTGTAAGTGGAGGTTTCAATGTTTTTTTTTGTTTCATTTAATTGGGAAAATATAGCTAAGTGTCACTTTTTTATTGGCTGAATATTAAGATTAAAAACATATTTAAAAAAGAGAAAAAGTTTGAAAAAGTCAATAATTAATACTATGAATATACTATTCCACAACTTTCACATGAAATTAGTTTAAATTCTTTTTACTTTATTATTCTTTACATATAATTATATTTATCATAATAGATTTTTAGTTTAGAATAGTAATAGTAATAATAGCGTGCTATTATGTTTTTTGTCATCTAATTTGACCTATTTTTTTTAGATCTTGTCAGTCCCCCTTATTTTCTATATTTTATTTTAGTTGATTTACGTTAAATTTTTTTTATTCTAATTAAATTTGTTTAATTATATTTAATTAGGTTAGTTTTTGTTGTTTATTTATTTAGTCGGTACCTTAAAATTAGTTTAATTTAATTTATTAAATTAGATATAACAAAATTTTATATTAAGTTTAGGCTATTTACTTCTAGTAAAAAATTATTTAAAAAATATTTAAAAAATATATCTTTAGTCTCAGATAAAAACAAATATCTTGAACATTCATCAAATCTGCTTAATCAAATCAAATTAATTTAAATTAATTATATTTTTTCTAAATAAAAAGATTTCACATCTTCGAATAATAATTGATCGGTTTAACGCCTATCAATTAATTATTTAAATAAAATATATTTAAAATTAATTAATTAACAAATCAAATAAATTTTTTTGCCCAACACAAATTAATTTTGATGAAGATCGACTCTTCCTTAATCCACCAAATCAAAATATCAAAATAGCTAATAAATCTAAAAAAAAATTTCTTAACTTAATAGAATTTAAGAACATTTTCAAAAAAAATTAAATAGAATTGTTTTCACACTTAACTATGAATTGCGTCTATGATCAATCTTTTACAAAACTCAGACAATGTTCAACGATAATTTGAAAGTAATTCTATGCAATTCTATAAAAACACCAACCAAACACATACGAACTACGAAATTGAACTCTGATTCTTCGCAAAGAAATACATAGGCACGCGGTTGAAAAAAATCAAGCGAGTCCCATAACTAAAAAACTAAACATTTTCTCAAACATATGTAAACGTTAACTTTTAAATAGAAACTCCTGATTTATCTATAAACCTAAAATAGGATGCACTTGAGAACAAGGGAGATAAAGGAATCTAACACTTTCTTTTCGTCTAATTGGATTACGAATTTAGAATCTCTATGGTTACCCGTTATTTCCCATCCTTAGGACAAAAATTAATAATGGCGACTCTCGTATTTTTTACTGATTATGACATGATGGAATTGATGTTGTCAATTTTTAATTAAAAATTTATAAATTAAGAGATGATATTGAAGGATAATATTTTAGGATGTTGATTATTTGACTCTAATTTTCTGTATATAAATAGACTAATAATAATTGTATTTTAAAATAATCTTTACATTTTTGTAACCGTCATTCGATAGTAATATATATATATATTCTTTCATTCTTTATGCTTTCATCATCTTATGTGTATGCATGCTTTATGATTTATAAATATATTTTGATCTAATTATCACAATTCCGTTGTAGTCTAGTTGGTCAGGATATTCGGCTCTCACCCGAAAGACCCGGGTTCAAGTCCCGGCAACGGAAATTTTGTATTTATTTTTCACGAATATTTTCTCTTACGAAACTTTAGTTTGTGACAAATCCTTTACGAAACTTAAAACAAACAAACCACACAACAAGAATTTGAAACACCTAAGAATTGTATTTTACTACTACATGAAGAAATTCTCGTACCGTTGCTAAATCACTTGAATAGTTGAATCGGTGTTTGCGGTAAAACTGACACAACTAAGGATCAGAGTATCTGAGATTATTGATACATGTATTGTTTTCGATTCTTGAGGAAGAAGAAACTAACCTCTTTATCAACCTCGTCCTTTGTTACACTAACCAAACACCGAACCCTCACTCAAACCCACCATAACAATGTCATTGCTTCGAACAAGATCATTGCCAACTACGTTCGATCTGGTGACGTGGATTCTGCTCTTCGTGTGTTTGATAGCATGACAGTGAAGTCCACTATTACCTGGAACTCTATCCTCGCTGCTTTTGCAAAGAAACATGGGAATTTCGAACGCGCTCGCCAACTGTTTGAGAAAATTCCTGAACCGAATACTGTTTCATATAACATCATGTTGGCGTGTTATTGGCACCATTTTGGCATCCATAATGCTCGTGGTTTCTTTGATCGAATGCCTGTTAAGGATATTGCATCGTGGAACACATTGATTTCGGGTTATACTCAAGTCGGGTTGATGGATGAGGCGCGCAGGTTGTTTGAAGTAATGCCGGAGAGAAACTGTGTCACGTGGAGTGCTATGGTGTCTGGTTATGTGGCTTGTGGGGATTTAGATGCTGCTGTGGAGTGTTTTTATGCTGCCCCTATGAGAAGTGTGATTACTTGGACTGCTATGATTACTGGGTATATGAAGTTTGGAAGAGTTGAATTGGCTGAAAGATTGTTTCATGAAATGTGTTTGAAGACGTTGGTGACATGGAATGCTGTGATTGCTGGGTATGTTGATAACGGTAGGGCGGAGGATGGGTTAAAGCTTTTCAAGACGATGTTAGAAACTGGGGTTAAACCTAATAATTTGAGCTTGACTAGTGTGTTGTTGGGTTGTAGTGATTTATCAGCTTTGCAGCTAGGGAAACAAGTTCATCAATTAGTTTGTAAATCTCCATTGAGTAGGGATACCACTGCAGTGACTTCTTTGATTAGCATGTATTCTAAATGTGGGGATCTTAAGGATTCGTGGGAGTTATTTGTTCAGATTCCGCGAAAAGATGTTGTAACCTGGAACGCTATGATTTCTGGTTATGCTCAACATGGAGCGGGTGAAAAGGCACTTCATTTGTTTGATGAGATGAAAAGGGAAAACATGAAGCCAGATTGGATTACTTTTGTTGCAGTGTTATTAGCCTGTAACCATACAGGATTGGTAGATCTTGCAATCCAATACTTTAACTCAATGGTAAGGGATTTTGGTATTAAAACTAGGCCAGAGCACTATGCATGCATGGTTGATCTTCTTGGTCGAGCTGGTAGGTTATCTGAGGCTGTAGATATGATAAAAGGTATGCCTTTTAAGCCCCATCCCGCTATATTTGGAACACTTCTAGGTGCTTGTAGGATCCATAAAAACTTGCACATGGCTGAGTTTGCTGCTAAGAATCTGCTTGAGCTTGATCCAACTAGTGCAACTGGATATGTTCAATTGGCTAATGTTTATGCAGCACAAAACAAATGGGAACATGTGGCTAGGATCCGAAGATCAATGAAAGAAAATAACGTTGTGAAGTCCCCTGGATATAGTTGGATCGAAATAAACAATGTTGTGCACGAGTTTAGGTCAAGTGACAGATTACACCCTGAATTGGTTTCTATTCATGAAAAACTAAATAAATTGGAAAAGAAAATGAAGTTGGCAGGCTATGTCCCAGATCTTGAATTTGCATTGCATGATGTGGGAGAGGAGGTGAAAGAAAAGCTTCTTTTATGGCATAGTGAGAAACTTGCTATTGCATTTGGACTTTTGAAGGTACCATTAGGGGTTCCAATCAGGGTGTTTAAAAATTTGAGGGTTTGTGGAGATTGCCACTCTGCAATCAAATACATCTCAGCTATAGAAGGAAGAGAAATCATTGTTAGAGATACCACAAGGTTTCATCATTTCAAGGATGGGTTCTGCTCCTGCAGTGATTACTGGTAAGCTTGATGGTTTGTGGCTAATACAATGGCATTAATTTAAGGGTATGCTTTTATTGCAAGAGCAATGCAATCATGCTCATCACTTTGAATTCAATTCGGTATCAGTTTTCACTAAAGGAACACCACAAGCTTCATTGCTCTAGCATCGCATTAAATTTCTTGTTGAGTTAGTAGGCTATGATGCTGAAAACTAACTCTGTAAGTAGTTAACAGCCTTTAAGAGAATTTGAAGTTCACCTGCTCTAGATAAGACTAAGAGCAAGAGAAAATAATTGATTGCTGCTTGTAGGCACCTCATCATGAATAAATACCTGCCCCCAAATGCAGGTTCAAGAAAAGAAAACCGATTGATTTTAAACTACAAACCAGGAGACTACAGGGTTGTGTGGACTTCAACAACAGCTACCTGGAAAAGGACTCTATGGTGTAGAGTTCGGAGCATCAATTGCTTACTGGGTGCTTTTGCACTAAGTTGAAAATTGGGGATTCTATACTACACTGAAAATTCCTACCCCTAAATTCATTTTTATTTGAAAATTATTCAATTTTACAACAATTTATATTATCATTATTTCAATTTATAAGGTTATTTATAGATAGTTTTTTGGTCAAAAGACTATTTTTTTTTTCCATGTTGAACCATTGTTATCAATACACCAAAGATTTGCAACACAACAATACTCTACAGCGATTGAAACACTGAATCAAGTTTGCAACACAACAATACACTCTAAAATGATTGAAAAGCTGAATCAAGTTTGCAACACAACAATACTCTAAAATGATTGAAAAACTGTGAATCAGAAGGAGCATCATATATCATCTTCAAGCAAGACCTCGCTCAAGGAAAACGGTTTACTCTAGAATTTCTTTCTAGAGCTAAAGGTATGTTCAGCAAAGCAAGCAAAGAAACTGATAATAAGTGAACCTTTTCAAGGATAAAAATTCAGTTTTCCATATATATTATTTCATAAACTTACAATGAAAATGAACAACATTCAACTTCTACTGAGACAAGTGAACAAATATGAGAAGCAAGAAAAAAAACAGTTCGCTATATATTTTATTTCATAAACTTACAATGCAATTGAACAACATTCAACTCCTACCGTGACAAGTGAACAAATATGAGAAGAAGCTATTGCTTAAAGGTAAAATGTGCTTGGGACAAAGAACAAGGTAAATACTGCTTTTCAACAATATTCCTAATTTTGTACATATTTTTTTAGAATCAAATACATTGAAAAGAATGAAAGTTTTAACAAAGAGCTGAATGATAGAGAGTAAATCATGGCGAACAATCTTCATATAAAAGCATCATGTGAGAACTAGTTTTCCATGCCTCAGAGACATGTATGAACGTCTAAGACCGTGAATATTTAGTCTAAGACGAGCAGCAACCGGATTTCTGGTTCACTGGCTGTCCTCGAATTTGAACTGTTGGAGGTCTGGCATTGTTTGATGGTTGACTAGCCATTCTGTGGGGAAAAGTACCAGGGACAGGGAAATGGGATCAGTCATCAAGGTAGATTTGCTAATCAGGATTCATTAACATTACATGCAGAAATTCCATACCTGTTTTTTATTTCAGCAGCCATGGCCATGAAAGCCTGTTCCACGTTGTTGGCATTTTTAGCACTAGTTTCCATGAAAGGAATTCCAATTTCATCTGCAAATGCCTGAAATATAGAGAACACAAACATCCAAACATTAGACAAAAGAAGAATTAAAAAAAAAAGTTAGAAGAGGTGGGACATGTATATGACATAAATCAACAAGTTTATCACCTTTGCTGTTTCAGAGGACACAACTTTATTATCAGTTAGATCACTCTTGTTTCCAACTAGAAGCTTGTTAACGTTTTCACTTGCATAGCGGTCAATTTCATTCAGCCACTGCTTAACATTGTTGAAGCTCTCTTGGTCAGTGACATCATAAACAACCTGCAGAAAAGAAATGAAAAGTTACACCATTGTTTCCCAAGATGATATAAAAAGGAAATTGCTGACAAAGTGCCAGTTTAAAAAGGTTTACAATTATGCCATGAGCCCCACGGTAGTAGCTGCTAGTGATAGTCCGGAAACGTTCTTGACCAGCAGTGTCCCACTATTCAACAGATGCAGAAAAATATGTCAACAATTATAGGATACAGTAAAGCAACAAACCCAAATAATTGCAATAATTGGTAAATGGAAAAACTTATAGGATACAGTAAAGCAACAAGCCGAAATAATTGCAATAATTGGTAAATGGAAAAACTTGGATTGAGCAGCTTATCAAATAAACATATAATAATTACCCAAATAAAAGGAAACAGAAAAATATCCTTGGGTACATGGGAGATTAAAGTCATTGGTTCAAGGAATGTTCAAATTCATTTTTGTGCATCTAATTGAGACAATTCTAAAATGCAATTTAGATGTAGAAAACAAATTGGCATAGAACGAATAATATAAAACTCCCATCAGAACTAAAAAACAACTTGTTCAATATTCAAACAACATTAACTTGATCAGTGACTTACAATTTGAAGTTTAATTGTCTTCCCGTCTTGCTCAACAGTGCGTATTTTCTGTAGAAGGGAGCATGTTAAATATTAAGCCACACAATAGCGTTGAAAATAATCGTGGAAATAAGGTTAGGTGGTGTATATTAAATGCTTACAAAGTCCACTCCAATGGTACTGATATAGCTGTCAAGGTATGAATCATCCTGTTTCAGGAAAGGAAAACAATATAAGTGTAACCTACACCATCAAGTGAGAGTCGGTCATTATGTGAGGAGTAAATCTTGCCATTGGATCTAACCATGAATTGATATGAATAAAGTTGCAACTCCGAAATAATGTGACTGATAAAAAAAACTAAATATTGATGACCATATATGGTTTATAGTCAAGATTTACTTCTTTCACTCGTGCAAATAGCCCTCTCCAAGTCTCACTGAATGTGATTGTGACATCTTAAACATTTTCAATGACGAAATAATATCCAAAGTTCTGAATATTCAACTTCATATGGAAATGGAATAGTAGGAATATTTAACTTCATCTTTTTCATTAATTGAAAAATGGTTGCCATAAAGTACAGGTTGTTTAAAGAAGGGATAAAGAAAGGACAAGGGCCCGGAACTTACAGCAAACCTCAGGAGGAGACATGACTTGCCCACACCAGAATCTCCAATCAACAAAAGCTTGAACAAATAGTCACTGAAAATAACATATGCTCCAGTCAAAGATGTGATATTATTAATGAATGTCTATCCTTTTTATAAAGAGAATGGACAGTGGCAAAGCGGGTGAGAGTATGATTTGGTCCAATTGAATTTGGGTATAATGGACTAACTTTTAATAGAAAAACACTTAACAATATATCAATGCAGGTGAAGAGGTTCACGGAGACCAAAAACTTAACAGGGTCATGCTATATGCATATCCATATGTATATCCCGAGCTATGTCCAAGTTAAGCATCAAAACTCAAGCTCATGAGTGCCACCAGGGCTATATTTAAAGGTGTGCAAGGCGGCCTATAGCACAGAGCCTCACATTTTTTCATGATTAAACTATAGCAAAAAGAGTCTTCATACACATAATCCACGATTAATTTACGGTTAAATTGAGCCCCTTTAAAAAATTCATGCCTCAACTAAAGCTAACTTCAGCTTCTTACACAGGGCCTCTCAAATGTTTGAGAGGGCTCTGAGTGCCACAATAGACAGCAAATCGTGATTGTGTAAAAAGGCAACGTATATAGAAATTTATTCATAATTACTACTCTGGCCTTATTTATAAGAAAAGAAGAAAAAAAACAATTTTCACGCTAGCCTTATTTATAAGAAAAAAGACAATTTGCATTTAAATTACTAGTATACCCTTAGATTAAAGTCATGGAGCAACAACATATTAAATTGTTCAATCATCTGTACAAAATTTGCTAACACCCAGATCCACTTGAACTTCACTAGCTTTGCCCAAAATACCTCGGAATTTGGTCCAGGTGGTAATTCCCAAGTACTAAAATCCAATAGATATTAGGGAGGACCGCATTCTGCTTATAAACATCATAACGATAGATCTATCTATAGAATAGAATTTCCAGGATCCAGTTATTCACAGCGACAAAATCAATCCAACCACCAAATAAACAAACTATAATAATCCCTGAATAAAATGCAGTATCACTAATCATAATGTTCTTACAACTAAACTCTCACATGTGTTTACCTAATGAACAATTAGGCATCTCTTGCTAGATACTAACCCAACCCAATTTCTTCAGTTATAGATCATCGCTATCAGAAAAATTCTAAAACTAAAATCACAACCCAAACATGATCACTGAATCAAACAATTAAAAATACGTTAAACATAACTGAACACGATGAACAGACAGATCTATCCTCTAAATAAACAGATCCATATCAGCAAGGAATTTTGAGAAACATGATCCATGTACAAATTTCACAAACCATGCATCAGAGACACTATAAAATTCACCACCGACTAATACAACAGATCTAAACAAGCTCGATTCGGAAAAATCAAAACAACAAAAAAAAAACGAAACGAGTTTTACGTAACGGGAATTTCGGAGAAGTGAAGCGAGGAGAATTGGCACTTACTATTCAGGATTCATGGCGGTGAGGAGATGGAAGCGATTTGAATCGAGGGGAGCCGGATGTGAAGAGGAGAGAAGGGGTTTGGCGGCGATGGGAGTTACCGGTTGTATGAGATCGTCGCCGAGAAATGGAGAAGGTGAGAGAGAAGAGAGAAGATGGAAGAAGAAATCGAAGAAACGTGTGAGGGAGTAGTGTTTTAAAATGACCCGCGGGTATCGGAGCTCGATTCATCAAGCATCAACGGTGCGAGTGGGGTGACGTATACCAACAAGTTCGGTGCTTGCCACGTGTTCTGCACCATTTACCGAATTACTGGATTGGACAATTTATTTCTTTCTTTTTTTCTAGTGATACTTACAACTAAAATTTAAATTAATATTTTTAATTTTAAAATAGCTTTTAGAGCATCTCCAATGGTGCAACTCAATTTTGGGTTCTTTGCGGGATCCATCCACGTCAGCTTGAAGCAACCCAACTAGTTTTTCACTCCAATGGTGCAACTCTAAAGAACTCATAATGGGTTCCACAATTTTATTTTATATATTAATATTTTATTCATATTAAATTCTATATCATTTAAAATAATAATTTTAATTATTTAAATTAAAATTTATATAAAATAAATAAAATTCAAATTAAACTTATAATTTAAAATGATAATTAAAATTAATTTCAAATACATTACATATAATTAAAAACAATAAAAATAAATAACATCACATAAATTAATCAAACTTAAATTTCATCATCTTCATGTCCAAAACGTTCCCAAATATACTCGACTAGATCTCCTTGAAGTTGACGATGAACTTGTTTTTCACGAATATTTGCTCTTCTTTGTAGTCTTGTTGGAAGATTCGAATGAGGACCGCTAAATGTTTCAGTTGTTGAGTGATTGTTATCCACATTATCATAAGAGTAATCAAAATTACCTCCATATGTATGTCGTTCATCTTCAACAATCATGTTGTGCAATATGATGCACGCATATATGGTATGTTTGTGCCAGGCACGCGCTGGGCCACGTATAATTGCAAATCGAGATTGAAGCACTCCAAATGCCCTCTCCACATCTTTTCTAGCTGATTCTTGATGTTGAGCAAATAATTTTTTCTTCTCTCCTTGTGGCATTGAAATGGTCTTCACAAATGTAGCCCACTCAGGATATATACCATCGGCTAAATAATACCCCATATTATATGGTGTTCCATTGATTGTATATTGCACATTGGGAGCATGTCCTTCCAAAATATCGTTAAACACGTTGGATTGGTTTAACACATTAATGTCATTGTTTGAACCAGCAATACCAAAAAAAGCATGCCAAATCCATAAGTCATGTGATGCCACTGCTTCAAGCATGATTGTGGGCTTTCCATGATCACCTCGACAAAATTGTCCTTTCCATGCAACAGGATAATTTTTCCACTCCCAATGCATACAATCAATGGAACCCAACATGAAGGGGGAAAAACACAAGAAGGGGGGGTTGAATTGTAAAACTGAAATCTTAAAGCAATTGACAAGATATTTTTATCCTGGTTCGTTTGATCTCAAACTACTCCAGTCCACCCATCAAGGTGATTTCGCCTCTCTCCAACGAGGTCTTAATTCACTATATTCAACTGAATATTACAGACTGCTTTAACAACTGCTAAAGCCTTCTTGATTCAAACCACAATCCGGTTT